TGAGAACTGGAGTGAAAAGATGTGTTTTATCTGTCGAATACTTAAAAAACCAGCCAAAATCGCTCGCGAGGGTTTACAGAAATGCAAAAATAATCAGCAGGGCCACAGCAAGGAAAAAAGGCTGCCTTCTTCCCTAACAATTTCCGCGTAGTTCCCATCAATCTCTCAATCTACAAGAGCTCGTAGCACAGATCATACAATCCTCACTTTAATTCGTTTAATTAAAATCATATGAACTTCTAGATTTAAAAAAAAAATTCAATTCGTTACAATTAAAAAAAATAAAATATTATTACCCTTAGCTCTTGTAGACTTCGTGGTACCGCTCGTCGTAAATCATCAAAGACTTTCAACAAATCCGGTTGTGTAACCAAATGATTGTGATGGATTCTAAAACATAAAAAATATAAGGATAAAACGTATTCCCAGCGTAAAAACCAGCTTAAATCATAGCATAACGTTCAGCTTACAGCTGCCGAAAATTAGCAAATAATTAAACAAAAAAAAGCAGAATGCACATAATGCACATTCCAAGGAGATTTTCAAATACTAGGTTTTTTAGAAACAACAGTCTTTGAAAGAAGTCGTGTTAAAATTAATAAATAGCGGCGCGCACGAGGGCAGCCGATGCGAACATGCGTTTTGTGCAATTCCGCCCACCGAACGATTGCCTGCTAATGATTTTCACCGCTCTGAATTTAAATTTGAGAGGTTTTTTCGCACGCATGCACGGGACAGTCCCAAAGCTTCAGCTTCCTATCTTTCGTGATTCCCGAAATGATAATCATCCCTACCAAAACTTTCACGAGGCCATACATGTTCGCCGCTAGTACGGCAAGGCTGCGTTTAAAGTGGGAAGGGAACATACCCATAAGATTTCAGCTTCCTAGCTTTTGTGGCTCTCGAGTTCAAAGCTGTGGACACAAAAATATCGATAACCCCGTGACAATATGAGTTTTGTACTGCTGTTACATAGCATAAAACGCATAAAAATCATCCCTGTACTCATTTTAATGACAAGCGAAAAACTACAGAAGTAGCCCGAACGGTAGCAAATGCCAGTGTAGCATTCACCCACTAGCAAAAGTTCCGATGGAGCTCTCTTTAGAGAAAGTTGTTCAGGAGCAAGCTGATGGCCAGTAAAGAGGAAAAGCGATTTGTGAAAGCCAAAAATCCCAGGCAAATCGCTTGAGATAGGAAGAGTGTAGACAAGTTGGGCGGAAAAATGTAATTATCTTCAAATGGTGAACTATGAATTAACAGCTCTTACAGGCATTTTAAACACAGAAATCCTCAAATTCATCCCAAATGGTGTAATTAATCATCAAGAACAGTTCAACTGGCGCCGTGGTACTCAAGATCTGTCGCACAAATATTAAATTAATGATCCTTAATGCAAAAGTTGTTAACTGTATAGCTTGAAAACCAGAGTTTTTATTACAGCTGATTCATGTATTTCAAGTGAGCAAGACTTTCTTAGACTTTTTTGGGGGAAAAAACAAAAACCTTACTTTACTAAGAAAATGAGGACACGTGCTGCAAGTTCTGCTTTGTAATGTTTTCCGGCGCAAACGCCAAGCGCCCGAATAATATCCGGGACAAAACCAAATGGTACCATCAATAAACTCTTTTCTAAATGACTGAAAACAAAAATTTATAAAAATTTTTATAAAAATGCTCTCTTCTCTCTCCATTTTTCATTAGTACCAGTACAAAAACTTCCAATAAAAACATCGGAAAAGCACCACTGACCGACTGTACGTTCTCAGGGAAAATGGTGGCTGTGGGCTGGAGTTTCTGGAGGATTGCCTTCGCGAGAGAATCATAGCTACTTGGGCTTATGTAGTAACAACATCATCAATGCGACTGCATCAGTTCCTATTCCGGCAACTGGCCGGTCAATCTAAAAGGAGTCCGATCGCCAATGGCGAGAAGATCCTGGCCGAAGAAGGTATAACTTACGAGTGCGACATCAGGCAGGGTAAGGTCAGTGTGGATGGCTCGGTATTTACAAAACCCACTGCCTTATTCCGGCATCTGAGAGGCCTCATAAGAGCCAGTAAAAAATTTTGGCGGGA